AGGGGCTGAGCAGGGTATACCTTTGCCCAGTAAACTGTACATAATACTTTTGCTTGCATCACATCTGCTAGAATGTGGCAACATGGCCACACTTAGTTGCAGTAGATACTAAGATACCAAATGCTTAGATAAAATTGGAGATTTTCAGAGTGAGAAAGGGAGAATGGCTGTTTGGTTCCTATAAACAATTTCTGCCATGGTGGTAATCAAATTATACCAAGACCTTGCAGTCACTGAGTTTACAGTGGTGGTGAACCTATGGCATGTATGTTGTTTTTAAGACAAAAGAAGTTAATGTATGAGGTGTTTTTTCTAAACTAAAACCTGAATATTCAGGTTTAATTGCAATGTTGTCATAAATAAGTGGGTTTTGGGTTGCCATCACTGGTCTTGTAAGAGAAACAGACTATAAATAAATGGAAAATACAAAACAAAAAACAGACATGTATGAACTATATGTTTTTGTATGCATATGTATATATATGTGGTGAAATATTTCACATTACTGTAGTTGTTGGGGGAAGGAAAATACAATATGGGGAGGAGAGCAAGCACTGTTCTGTTTTTCACAGGGAAATTGAAAGCAGGGTTGAGTTCATAGATTTCACTTATGTTTATGATTGTGAGGAAAGGGGACTTTTTAGCTGAAAAGATTGGGGAAGACTTCTGAAAGATGAGATTGGAGCAGAAACATGGATGGAGTGAGGGGGAAAGTATAGGGGAGACACAGATAGAGCAGTGATGTAGAGGAAGTAATGCTGAGAAGAGCTGGGTACTTTTTTATACTACCGAGGTGGGCAGAGCACTTAGAATAAATAGTCTCATCTGGAGAAAGGACTATTTCTTAGGTTTTCTTCTTTCCTGCCAGTCTGTAAGCTCTGTGAACATAAGGACTTTGTTTTATTTACTGTTAGGAAAGTAACAGTGTCTAGAACAGTTTTTGACAGATAAATTGGCCTTCATTAAATCTTGGTTAAATAGTTGAATGGCATAATTTGGAATATATTACATAGAAAGAATCAGAACAATTTCCATATATATCTTATTTCATTAGAAGAAATGCGGGGGCTGGGGATTTAGCTCAGTGGTTTCGCTGCCTGCTGCGCAAGCGCAAGGACCCGAATTTGATCCCTGGTACCAAAAAAAAAAAGAAGAAGAAATGCAGTACTTCTAAAGTTGATACTCAGTTACATGTGCTTCTAGCCCTAATTTACTAAAAATACTTTGTTAAGTTTAAAAGTACTTACTACCCAGGATTTAGCTCGATGGTTCTGCCGCCTGCCTCTCAAGTGCAAGGTCCCAAGTTCGATCCCAGGTACCCAAAAGTGCAGTAAAGGTATTACTTACTATTAAAAAAAATTAGCTGAGGGCTAGGGATTTAGCTCAGTGGCGCCTCTCTTGGCTTCACAAGCGCAAGGTCCTGAGTTTGATCTCTGGTACCAGAAACAAAAATTAGCTAAATAAAGCAAAAATAGCAAACGTATTTAGCTGAAAATGTGAAGAGCCTATTTAATAACTAAATAAAATTTTAAGTTCTGGTGAAACTTTCTATACAGTCATCCCTCTGGATATGCAGAGGATGGGTTCCATGACCCCACCTTCAATGCCAAAATCCTTGTATGCTCAAGTCCCTGACATAAAAGGATGTAGCATTTCTATAAAATATGTACATATCTTCCTGTATGCCTGAGATAATTTAGAGATTACCTGCAATACTTAATACAATGTGAATGCTATGCTACACTGTATTGCTCAGAGCATAATGACAAGAAAAAGTGTACTTATGTGTTCGGTACAGAGGTGAGAGTCATAGAGGCCTAAATGTGTAGTGTGTGGATGAGACAGAAGTATGGGCCGGGGATTTAGCTCAGTGGTTCCGTCGCTTGCCTTGCAAGTGCAAGGACCCGATTTTGATCCCTGGTATCAGAAAAAAAAAAAGATGAGACAGAAATGAGCAGCGCTCCAGCCACAGGTGCTGCTGTGGAAGGGCAGGCGGCGGCTGCAGGTGTGCTTTGCATCACCCTGTTAGCATAGAGTCAAAGTGTGAGGGTCAGTAGGTGGCAAATTCAAATTTTGCTTTTGGGAACATCCTGGAATGTATTTTCTGAGTATTTTCTATTTGAGGTTGGTTGAATCTGAGGATGCAAAGAACTGTCTACATAGATGACATTTAGTTTTATTTATATTTACTAAAACATTTTTTTCTCCAGTTCTTATTTTATTTTTCATGCTTTCCTGATCTACTTGGTTCTGGGAGAGAGATGTTTATCTGCCCACTGTTTTGCCCTTGGTCTTCCTATGATGGCTTTGAATGTTGGCTCAGAACAACCCAACACAGTGGTGGCAAACCTAGGGCGTGCAGTGGCCTGTTATTCCTGAAAGCTCTGAAAGGTTCACTGTCACTGAACAGATTCCAACAGGGAAAGCTCCTCTTTTGTCCCATAACCCACTCCCACCTGCAGTCTTTGGTTCACATAGTTAGTGGACTTCATAAGGTTGTGTAAGAGTCTCTTGTTTCTTTAATTGTGTAGATGTGCAGCCTGCTGTTTTAATACACATAGTGAGATGATTAGCCAAGCAGATTAACCTATCCCCTTATCCTCTTCACCCCTGTGGTGAGAACATCTAAAATAAATGCTCAGCTATTATCAGTATTTAGCTGTAGTTCTCAGACTATGCAGTAGGTCTCTAAACTTATTCAAGACTATCTTTTTTTCCTTCCAAATACTGTTACATTTTCTGAAAATTGTGTCAATTTTGGACCCTGCTAGTGGTCATTTGTCACCAGTATCTCCAGTGTGGATAGCACAATCTCCAAATTTGTTTTACTGGTATAAATTTCCCAGTGTAAGCTTTATGGGAGCATGAATTTTTGTTTCTGTAACTAAATGTGGTAAGTACTTAGTAATTATTGAATGAGTGAATCTGAATTAAGGAAAGCATGAATCTCACATATTAAGAACAGTGGATATGTTATTGGTTGATTTCATAACAAATGCTGGTAGGGCTGTGGGGAAAAAGGAACCCTTCTCCATTGTTGGTGGGAGTGCAGACTGGTGGAGCCACTGGAAATCAGTATGGAGATGCCTCAGAAAACTAGGATTAGAGGTCCCATTTGACCAGCTATTCCCCTGCTGGGTATCTTCCCCAAAGAATTAAAAGAATCATACCACAGTGATGTATGCACAGCCATGTTTATAATGGCACAGTTTGTAATAGCTAAAGCTTGGAAACAGCGCAGTTGCCCATCGTCTGAAGACTGGATAAAGAAGATGTGTTTGTTTTTTTTTAATAAAGTGGAATACTACTCAGCCATAAAGAATGAGAAACTAGAGACATTTATAGCTGAATGGATGTACCTTGAGGTCATACTCTTTTTTTGTTTGTTTTTTGAGGTCATACTCCTAAGTGAAATAAATAGAATACACATGTGTAAATACCGAATAGTTTCTCTGGTGTGAGAAACCGAAAGTGTAAATGAGGATCAAAATGTATAATAATAATGTGAAATAGGGAAAAAAAGTCAGAGGGGAAGGGGAAGTGGGAGGGGTTGGGGAAAGGAATAAATACAGGGAAAGGAAAAAATGGAAACCAAAGTTTTTGTAAATAGGGAGAGGTGGAGGGGTTGAAGGAAGGGCAGGGGAATGGGGAAAAAATAAGAATCAAGATACATCATGTAAAGGTACAAATTCCCAATGATGAATGTCATCATAGTGTATACCTAAAATGTACCAATAAACTTAATGAATAAAAAAACCCCAATGGATATGATTCTTCATTTTAAAACTCTGGACTTCTTTCAGTCTTACACTTTTTTTTCTTATCAGTATTATAATTAGGGCAGACTTACTTAAATTTAGACTGTTGCAGGGATATGTTCTCTGATCTCTCTAGAATGTATTTTTTCCTCATTCTTGAATACATTTTCTTCAGATAGAGCAGTTTCATTATTCATTACCACCCATTTGTTAAATCTGTGTCCTGAGCCAGGCATCATGGTGCACAACTGTGATCCCAGCATGCCAGAGGCTGAGACAGGAAGATTGAGTTTGAGCCCAACCTGAGCTATATGTAGTGAGTTCAAGGCCAGCCTGTAGTACATAGTGAGACTCTGACTCAAATAAAATAAAATAAAATAAAATGTTTAGGAGGATTCTACAAAATAGCATATGCCTAATAGTTGAAATAGATGTGATATTTGGAAATGTTAAAGTCATGTTGAAGCAAATACAGCAGCTTACAATACTGCATGCATACCAGTTACATCCATTAAAAAAGAAGAGGGGTATTGGTTGATAAGGATTGGAAAAGAATTAGTTACTTGTTGGTCTGAAGTGTGTGGAAGGTCTTCCTGCTATATGTTTAAATATACATTAAAAATTGAGCCATTATAACAACAGTGGTTTAAAAAGAGGATTGCCATGAGTTGAAGACCAGCCTAAACTACATAGTGAGACCCTATCTCAAAATTTAAAAAAAAAAATTTGGAAATGCTCGAAAATAGACTGCATAGGGCCAGGGATTTAGCTCAGTGGTTCTGGCGCCTGCTTCACAAGCGCAAGGTCCCGAGTTTGATCTCCAGTACCCAGAAACAAAAAAAAGACTGTATAATTATATATGCATATGTAAAAAATATAATGATGTATGAGTGCTGGAAACTCTAGATGTCATACTTGAGAAAAAGCTCAATATTTACATGGAAAGGATAACTTCTGAATTCTGAAACATTATGTCACCAAGTAGAGGTTGGTGGTTTGGAGGAGAGGGTACTGGGAATGAACATAGGACCTCATGCATGCCAGCATGCTGGGTAAGTGCTGTACCACCGAGCTACAGTGCTGGCACTTTGAGATAAGGTTTCACTCACTTGCTCAGGGTGGCTTCAAAATTGTAGTCCTCCTGCCTCAGCATCCTGTGTAACTGAGATTACAGGTGTGGGCTTCTATGCTCAGCTTGTAGAAACTATTTTGAGTAGATGTTGTATAATTTTATTCTTACAGGCCAAAGAATGTGGCCAGATGCAGAATAAGTGGCTGATGATAAATATTCAAAATGTGCAAGACTTTGCATGCCAGTGCCTCAACCGTGATGTATGGAGCAATGAAGCTGTGAAGAACATTATTCGAGAACATTTCATTTTCTGGCAGGTAAAGAGAGATAATTGAAAATGTTTTCTAATATTTTTGTAGTTTGGGATTTGGGGGAAGAGAAATTATAAACTGGGAAAACTGTGTTAAATTATGACATATAAACAACCTACAGTGGCTGAAGTAGTAAAGGCAAGGGAGAGAGCAGCAGTGAAGAACTCCCAAAGGAAGGAGGGAAAAACAAGCACACCATAGAAACTGTATGGCACTTGTGTCCCAGGAGTGCCCTGAGGGTTCCATGGTGTAATGGTGAGCACTCTGGACTCGGAATCCAGAATTGTCTTGATAGAGTGAAAAGACAGCTAACTGTACTGCTCAACAGAAATACAAGCTGGCTGTGTGCGTAATGTAAAATTTTCTAGTAGCCACATTTTTTTTTTAGTAGCCACGTTTAAAAAGATCAAAAGAAATTGATGAAGTTAATTTTAATATATTTTATTTAAATAAATGTTTTTGTTTAAATTATGTGTAACTAGTATTAAAATATTCATAAGGAGCCAGGGATTTGGCTCAGTGGTTCTGCGGCCCGCCTCGCACGCGCAAGGTCCCGAGTTTGATCCCTGGTACCAAAAAATAAAAATAAAAATAAAATAAAATAAAATATTCATAAGATGCTTTGTTTCTTTTTTTGGTACCGGGTATTGAACTTGGGTCCTTGCGCTTGTGCAGCAGGCAGCCAAAACCACTGAGCTAAATCCCTGGCCCTATACTTCTCAATTTGTTCAAGACCGTTTTAGGTGCTTCAGTAGCCAGTGTGATTAGTGGCTACCATTTGGTTACAGTACAGGTGTAGAGGATCTTGACTAAGATTTGAATTATAGCTTAAGTTTAGAACTCTTAACTGTGTGACCTTGGATACACAACTTAGTCTTGGCTAAGTTACAATTTATATAAATTATTGAGTTAAGAGTAGATGATCTTGCTCCCATTTTTTAATTTTGAAGAGTTATAGGAAATAACTTCTGAAAGAATCATTTAACTTTTCTGTTACAAGAAACACTATTAATGTTATTAATTTGCCTGTTCATGTTTTATAATCCTCTGAATGCAATATGATTGTTTCTAATGGCAAAATTCCTTTTATTCAGTGAATATTATCTCTGTCTAGCATTATGAGATTCTCTCAAGCTTACCATCTTCTTCTTTTTTTTTGGTACTGGGGATCGAACTCGGGTCCTTGCGCTTGCGAGGCAGGCAACAGAACCACTGAGCTAAATTCCCAGCTGCTTATAATCTTACTGCACTTTGAAAGATATGTTTATGTTGAGGAATGACATAGGAATGACATAGGTAGACAGATACTTGAACAGGCAAAGCAGTGTCTCTTCTGAACTGGGAAAGGAGCAGGACTAGATTGATATGTTTACAGTAAGTTTCCAGAAGGATCTGAAGGCAGGAAGTTGAGGGACTCCACACCATTTTATTTATTTATTTGTTTGTTTGTTTGTTTGTTTATTTGGTACTGGGGATTGAACTCGGGACCTTGAGCTTTCGAGGCAGGCGATGGAACCAGTGAGCTAAATCCCCGGCCCTATCTTCATTTTTCTTTAATAGGAGTAAGATCTTAACATGTACGTAAAGGATGGTCAAACCCATTAATATGTAAACTTTTAAGAAATTTATTATGGTAAAGAACACATTGCCATGAACCTCCCTTAAAATATTTTTTTTTGCTTTTTTTAGTACCGGGGATTGAACTCAGGACCTTGAGCTTGTGAGGCTGGCAGCAGAACCACTAAGCTAAATCCCCAGGTCCTCCCTTAAAATACTTCCTCTCATTTTGAGCACATTGTCCCATCATTCTTGCCACTTTCTGAAGCAGTTCTGAAAGTCTTTTTTTTCCTGAGTGTCTTTAGTTACATACTGGCCTAGCTGCCTCAGTGTCCTGAGTCAATTCAAACTATTGACTTTTTTCATGGTCATTTTGACTTTGGGGAAGAGCCAGAAGATGCTTGGTATCAGATGTGGTGAATAAGAGGGATAAGGATAAGTGTTATATTTTTGTGAGCCTGTTTTCCCATTGGATGGTAGTCAGCAGCAGCATTCACTGTATTTTTTTTTATAGCTCATAAAGACACTTAAGAAAGAGGACTTCCAGAACTGCTTCAGAAAGTGTCAAGAACAATGGGATAAGTGTGTTTGAAGCAAGGGGGAGGATTTTTTAAAGAGATTAATGGGATTGTGTCTTTTACTGGAATATGTTTTACAAAATTTAAATGCTCACTGTATATCTTGATCGTGCCTTGCACAAAAGGGGCATTTGGAGAATTAATTGCTGTTGGTGTATAACAAGGTTATATTTGGTCACTTTTTTGGAGGCTGACTTTTTTATATATATCAATGATTTAACAGGTTTATCATGACAGTGAGGAAGGTCAGAGATACATACAGTTTTATAAGCTAGGGGACTTCCCCTATGTCTCCATCTTGGACCCACGAACAGGTAAGATTTACATCAGTTCACAGCCTTGTAACCTGTCATTTTTTTTTCTATTACCTAAATGACTGATCTTTTAATTTTTGGTTTCAGAATTGCAGTAGTTTAGGTGATGGTTTCTTGTACATGCCCATTATGGGTTAAATACCCATTCATGTATATATTGAGGGAATCTTTTTTGGCAACAAAAGATTAAACAATACAATTAATGTGTAAACTTTTAAGAAATTTATTGCAATAAAGAGCACATTGCCATGAAGCCCCCTCAAAATCCTTCTACACACTTTGAGCACACTATCCCATCATTCTTCCCTCTTTCTGAAGCAATTCTGGAAATATGAGTTTTGAAACAGAGCCTTGCTGTGTTGCCTAGGCAGCCTAAAACTTGTAATCTTCCTGCCTCAGCCTCCCAAGAAACTCAGATTACAGGCATACACCACCACACCCTGCGTGGTTTTATTAATAATTGATTGTATTTTATTTAGATACTGCTTTGTTTGAATGTCTTCCGAAATGGCAATAAGTGATGTCAGCAGATAAGATATGTATCCTGATGGGTGGGAATCTGTCAGATCTATTAAAATTGATAGTCTTTAGGTTATGAAGACACAGTATAATGTAAGGTAGGTATGGGGATATGTGTTCATAGTAAACTTTATGCATCTGCAAAAAGAATGACTTAATGAGAATGTTCAGAAAAAGTACTGATTTTTATTGTATTTATATATCCTGATTTTTAATCTTTAGGTCAGAAGCTAGTAGAGTGGCACCAATTAGATGTATCTTCTTTCTTGGACCAAGTGACAGGATTTCTGGGTGAACATGGGCAACTGGATGGACTTTCTAGCAGTCCTCCCAAAAAATGTGCCCGATCAGTAAGTATGAGTAAGAAGTGGTGATGGAAAATACATGAAATTGTATGTACACATCTTGTATAAAATGTCTGATGTTAAGATGTTGAAGTTTCGATACTATCCCACGTAAGGATTCTGTCTTTTCATTGAAGTCGTCAGACTCATATTCCTCATATTCTTGCAGCTAGGGTACAGGCATGTGACCTAAGATCTTTATATTGAGAAATAAACACAATGTGTGGATCAGGGCCGTGGAGGATCCATTTCCTCAGAGCAGCCCTGTGGTGGTGGGGGGCTTCTTTTATCCAGATGGAAGCTGTGGTGGAAGTGCTGTTTTGCTGGAACAACTTTCTGGGAAAATTTGCCAAGATTACTGGTTTGACAGCTTCAGGGCCTGATTCTCTTGTCTCTCAAAGTATACTTCTGTACTCAATTTCTGTAATATGCTGTTATTAGGCAAGCCTCGTTTATAATTGGTATCATAATTAGCTGTAAGTAAGGACCTTCAGAGATACAGCAGTCTCACATTGGTTGTAATTGCTGTTTGGGTTTTAGAGCACAGGACTTTGGCAATCTGGTTCATGTGGTGATAACAGTTTCTTAGCTGTTGTGGAGGATAAAGCAGCTGTTTAAGGAAAAGCCTTAAGGGATAGTGTTCTTTTTGAAGGCATTAAAACAAACAAAAACAAAATACTCCATAGTTCTTTCCTTCCCAGGTACCCGAGATTAAAGCTATTCACCTGGCCCTGTTTTTTTTAATTGAATTACCTCCTTGTTATTGAGTTGTAAGAGTTCTTTATATTCTAAATAATAAGCCCTTTGGATGTATGGTTTGCAGATATTTTCTTCAGTCTGTTGCTGGATTATTCATTTTTACGATAGTACCATTTCAACAGCAAAATACAAAGTTTTGATGAAATCTAATTAGTCAACTTTTGTGCCCTAAGTAATCTTTCCCTAACTGAAGATTTTATCTTTTTCTTTAAAAATTAGTTTTAGGGCCAGGGATTTAGCTCAGTGGTTCTGCCACCTGCCCCGCAAGTGCAAGGACCTGAGTTTGATCCCCAGTACCAAAAAAAAAAAAGTTGCTGGGATGTTGATTGGAATTGCATTGACTCTTTGGAGCATTTTGAGAATTGACATTCTAACAGTTGAATTTTCGAGTGTGTAAACAGTAATATATCTCTCCATCGCTTTGTCTTTCAGTAATTTTTCTAGTTCTTGTACATTGATCTTGTAGCCTGCAATCTCCCTAAATTATCTTTCTAGTTGTAATAGCTCTTTTGTAGATCTTAGAATTATCTATATGGAAAGTCATGTTGTCAGCAAATAAACACTTTCATTTTCTAATCCCTAAGCCTTTTAATTCTTTCTCATATCTTGTCACACTGGCTGCCACCTCTGGTACAGTATGAAGTAGAAGTAGTGAGACTGGACATCTTCAAATGTCTCTGATGTTAGTGGGACGAGTTCAGTCTTTCACTCCTAAATGTGATGGTAGCTATATATTGCTTGTAGATATATTTGCTTTCTTAGGCTGAGGAACTTTCTTTCTGTTCCTGGTTTGCCCAGTTTTTATTGTTAAGTGGATTTTGTCATTTTTTAAAATATCTATTGAGATGATAATATGGTTTTTATTTTTATTTTTTTGGTAATGTGGTTTTTAGTTTTGTTTTGTGGTTTGTTTTTTTCAAACAGAATCTAGCTTTGTAACCGGGTGTGGTGGCGCATGCCTGTAATCCCAGCACTTGGGAAGCTGAGGCAGGAGGATCAAATGAGTTTGAGGCCAGCCTGGGCTACATAATGAGTTCAAAGCCACCCTGAACTACAGAGTAGGACCCTGTCTCAAAAAAAAGGATCTTGCTTTGTAGTTCAGAATGGCCTTGAACTCACTATGTAGCCCAGGCTGGCTTCAAACTTGGAGTAATCATCTTGCCTCTGCCTCCTGAGTGCTGGAATTGCAGGCAATGTGCCACCATGCCAGGCTTCATCAGTTCATTTTTTGAATGTTAAGCCAAACTTGTATTCTTGGGTTTAAAACCCACTTGGTTTTGATGCTTTTTGTTAAGTTTTATTTACTAAATTTTTGCTGTTGTTTTGTTTTTCAAGACAGGGTGTAGCTGTGTAATATGTAGTTCAGGCTGCCCTTGAACTCAATGGCAGTCCTACTGCCTCAGTCTCCCAAGTGCTGGGATTAAAGGCATTTGCCACTGTACCCAGCTTGATTTGCTAAAATTGTATTAAAAATTTGTCTGTGCCAGGGATTTAGCTCAGTGGTTTCGCCACCTGCTGCACAAGTGCAAGGTCCCGAGTTTGATCCCCGGTACCAAAAAAAAACAAAAAAACAAAAAAACCTAAACTGCAAACCAATATCCCTCATGAACAGACACACAAATTCTACCAAAAAGAAAAAAAAGAAGAAAAAAAAAAAGAATCTGTGTGTTTGTTCATGAGGGATTGGTTTGAAGTTTAGGGGTTTTTTATTTTTTTATATTTTTGGTACCAGAGATCGAACTCAGGTCCTTGTGCTTGCGAGTAGGATTTTTTATTTTGAGGGGTTCCTGTTCTTGTTTTTTTTTTCTTTCTTATACTGCCTTTCATGTCTGTCTCTGGTTTTGGTATCAGGTTAATACTTACTATGAATTGGAAAGTGTTTCCACTTCCTCTGTTTCCTACAAGAGTATGTATAGAATTGAAATTATTTCTTACTATTAGTGACATTTACTACCTGGGCCTAGAGTTTTTCTTTGTGGGAAGTTTGAAGCTACAAATTCAGTTTCCTTGTTAGGTACAGGACTACCTGGATATCTCTTTTTGAATGAGCTTTCGCAGACTGTTTCCAGGGATCTTACCTAAGGGGTCGGATATTTGTCCAAGTTCGTTGTATTCCCTTGTTCCGCTTTAATGACTGTAGAAATAGTAGTCATCCCCCCTCTCAGTCCTGTATTATTGGTATACTGCTTCTCTTTCTCTCTTCCTAAGTCTGATCGGATGGTGAACAGTTTTGCTGATCAGAACCAGCTTTTGGTTTCACTGATTTTTCTCTGTTGTATTTCTGTTTTCTAGATCATTGATTAGTTTCTGTCATTGATTAATTTCTGGTCCCCCCCTGTTTAGTTTGGGCTTAATTTCACTTTCTCTTTCCTAAGTGGACAGTTTTTTTCTTTTTCTATTTTTTTTAAGGTGGACACTTAAGTGATTAATTTGAGACCTTTCTTCTAATGTAAGCATTTAATTCTGTAATTTTCTTCATAAGTACTGTTACAGCTCAATACTATAATTCTTTTCTAGTGTTTAGCTACAGAGCAAAATTAGTAAATAGAATTTCTTAGCTGGATGTTCTGTTTTTTTAGGGGAGTAGTTGAGGTTTTTTTGTTTGTTTTTGAGACAGGGTCTCATTATGTAGTTCAGGTTGGCCTTGAACTCAAAGTGATCTTCCTGCATCAGCCTCCTAAGTGCTGGGATTACAGGCATAGGCCACCATGCTCAGTGCAGTGACATTGTGACAGACCTTCAGTCCACCTCAGCTATTGTGTTTCATGGGCCCATCTACCTGCTTTTGGGAAATGGCAAATTAGACTTAAATTAATTTTAAAAAATTTTTTGTTGCTATATGATTGGCAGATAGTGGAAGCCAGACATTCCTTTTGTTTTTTATTAGCAACGTATATTATTAACATTTTTATTGTGGAAAATTTTAAGCATATTGAAAAGTTGAAGAAATTTATTGAAGCTTTATCTATTAAATAATTTCAACCAATTATATAGGTGGCCAACCTTCTTTTATTTATATTCCACCATATCTGCATTATTTTGAAAGAAATCTCAGAGTTCATTGTTTAATTCATTCAATACTTTGACATACATCTTGGTGAAAGCTATTTATTTATTCATTTTATTTTTGGTTTTTGAGACAAGATCTCACTGGGTAACCCAGGATGGCCTCAAATTCATGGCAATCCTCCTGCCTCAGCCTCCGAAGTGCTAAGATTACAAGTGTGCACCACCCTACACCTAACCTCTTTTTATTTTTAAAAAACACCATCAAAATACCATTTAGCATACCCTTAAAATTAACACTAATTTTTTGATATAATGTATCCAGTGTTCAAGTTTAAGTTATCTTACAAATTTTTTCTATGGAGTATGCTTGAGCTAAGATCTAAATAATTTCTCTAAAACAACTCATATTTGTGACTCACTTCATTCAGTGATGTGAGAATTTTACCAAGGGGAGAACTTCTTATCATAATGAAAACCTTTACTGTAATTAAGATTAGGAGAACTTAGTTGTTTTCATATTGTGTTTTGTTTTGTTTTGAATGTTAGAAATCAGTGCTAGCCAGGTCTGGTCCCACATGCCTGTAATCTCAGCACTTAGGAGGCTGAGGCAGGAGGATCCCTGAGAGTTACAAGGCCAATCTGAACTACGTAGCAAGACCCTGTCTCAAAAAACCAGAAAAGAAAAAGAAATCAGTACTAGTTGATGAGTACAATGGTGAGCAAGATAGACATCTTTTTCTGTTGTTTAGTCGTGTTAAAGAATAGCATTTAGGCTTTAGCTTTAGAAGTTTAATTCTTTTTCTGAGCAAGGAATAAACTGTTTTCTTGGTTTTGTTTATTTGATGCCCAAAATATCAGTGATATAGTATGCTTGTAAAATGCCCATTTCAGATTGGCCTTGTAACATGAAAATCCTTGCCCTCAAAAGCTTAAATTTAGTAGAAGAGATATATTCACCAGAAAATAAAAATAGCAAGTTGACCATTGTATTTCTGTGCTTTGATTGACTTGTTGCTTTTTGTTTGTGTGTCTTTCTACCTGTGTTTTATGACTGCCTCCACAGGAGAGTCTGATAGATGCAAGTGAGGACAGTCAGCTGGAAGCAGCCATCAGAGCTTCCCTGCAGGAGACACATTTTGACTCCACACAGACGAAGCAGGACAGCCGCTCAGATGAAGAGTCTGAATCTGAACTTTTTTCTGGCAGTGAGGAGTTCATATCTATTTGTGGCTCCGATGAAGAGGAAGAGGTAGAGAATCTTGCCAAATCCAGGAAATCCCCCCACAAAGATTTGGGGCATAGAAAGGAGGAGAATAGGAGGTCACTGACTGAGCCCTCTGCCAGAACTGAGCAGGGGACAGCCACAAATCACCAAGGATTGCCAGCTTTGGACCCAGAGGTCCTGGAGATGTCACCTGAAAAGTCAGATGGAAGTGTGGAAGGGGCAGATGTAAACGGTGGGTTACATTATGATCACACTTAAAACGCAAGTATCACTGATGACTTGCTGTGTGTACTGATTTGAATTAATCTTCTATCTTCAATTACTTCATTCTTTCTTTCCCTTCCTCCCCCCTTTCTTTCTTTCCTTAGGACCAAAAGCACAGCTGATGTTGCGGTACCCAGATGGAAAAAGGGAACAGATCACTCTTCCAGAGCAAGCTAAGCTGCTAGTAAGTAGATCTAACTGGAAGCATTTGATTGAAGCAGAGAAACTATTTTTTTTTTTGCTACTGGGGATCGAACTCAGGACCTTGCACTTACGAGGCAGGCAAGGTGCCACTGAGCTAAATCCCCAGCCCAGAGAGAAACTATTGATAAGAGTAAGTCCAGTCAGTGAGTATTAAATAGGTGTTAAATGTTTGCTCTAATCTCTGCCTGGAAACTGAACTTCATTCTTAGTAGTTAATATCCTTCCCACATTATCAAGGCAAGTCACAGAGTCTATTCCCATCACAGCTTTTCTGTTCTGTGCTATGAGGAATTCAAAGCCAGCTGAAGGGATTCTTTCTGGAAAAGGGGAGTGGGGCTCTTTGAAAACAAGACAGTACTAGGATTCTCTGCTTCATACCATTCTCTCTGCATAGGGTGGCTTCAGTTTATTCCTCAGCTTACACATGACATGGTCCATCATGGTGATATGAAGGCCATTTAAATTCCATAGCTGATGGGCCTGATCTCTGTGTTTTCTACTGCCAGGAAAGAGAATGAGTCTGACTAGCTTAGGTGAGCTAATTAAAGACCCCACCTTGGATCAAGAGTTCATACCTGGCTGTTCACTGTGGCTGCAGATAATTAAACTGACTCTTAGAGATGGTGTGGCTGGAATGTAAGTGAAGTGTGGTCACGTGCTGACACCCAGACTGGCTCCAGTAGAGAGGAGACAATAGAATGAGCAAGTGCAGTGGGTCTCATTACCCACAGTTCTAGTTACCTGTGGTCACCTGTAGTCTAAAAATATTAAATGGAACACTCCAGAAATAAAGAGTTCATAAGTTTTAAATCTCATGCCAGTCTGAGTACCATCCCTTTTTTGCATCGTTTCAGCATCACCCAGGATATCAGTTGTCCCTTTGTGTGACGTATCTACCCCATAGACACTATCCACTTGTTTGCTGTCATTGTATCATAGTGCTTGTGTTCAGGTAACCCTTTAGAATTTATTTTACTAGGGTTGTGAAAGTATTTATACTTTCAGTTTTTTGTGTTTACCATTTAGTGACCCTTAAGAGTAGTGATGCTGGCAGTTTAATTACAGTTGTTGTCATATGTTCTATTTTGTTATTAGTTATTGTGGTTACTCTTTTGTTGTGTGTGTGTAATTTCTAAATTAAACCTTATGAGAGGACTATATGTATCCAGATCAGTACTACCTGTACTTTCAGTTGACCCCTGGGGTCTTGGAACATTTTCCCAGGTCAGGGAGCACTGGGAGTTTGGTGTGAAGCTAGAGGAAAGAGTGGGCAGTAGGTGAGAGGAACGTGATTGGGCAGCCTGGGCACGTTAGATCTGGTGGGAAGCAAAGTAGAAAGGGAGGCGCTAAAAAAATTGTAGAAGGGTGCATCCTGGAGTGGTGTGATTTCGGAGGAAACAGGAAGGGCAAGAGGGGAGTCAGTGCACAGGTGACAAGATTGGCCAGAGATCGGCTGAAGGACATAGCTTCTTGGTAGAAGAAGGGAAGCTGATGAAATGTTTAGAAATGAGGACAGTATTATATACATATCAATTGGGTTCATTGGGGGGCCAGTGATAACTGTATTTTAGTATCACATAAAGGCCCTAAATTATTGGGTACAGATACACTATCTCTCTGTCCAAAGGGTTATATTGGCCTTTCTACAGGGTGAACTTTGATTATCTAAATAACTTAGAGTTTGTATTTCATCTAATCTGATAAAGAATGGTGTTTTATACTTAATTTGTTAATGTGTTGTTTCCTTTACTTACACATAACAGCTCTTTTTCTTGTTTTCCCTAGGCTTTAGTGAAGCATGTGCAGTCTAAAGGATATCCAAATGAACGTTTTGAACTTCTCACCAACTTCCCTCGGAGGAAACTCTCTCATCTGGACTATGACATTACATTACAGGAGGCAGGCCTTTGTCCTCAAGAGACTGTTTTTGTACAGGAGAGAAATTAACACCTTGGCCTAACCTCTCTCAGCTTATCCCTTTACCCTTGTGATATACCATATCACTAAGTATGCATTTTGGCTCATAGGACAAGAGAGCCAAAGTTGGGCAAGCAAGTCACCTGCCTTCTCTTTATTTCTTGTTCTCTTCTGTAATTAGTCTCCTCCTCCCTCCCTTTCCTCTCCTGATCGACTTTTCCCATGTTCTTTATTTCTTGCCTAATCTGGTGACCAAATGGAAGTGTAAGGGTAAGATCTCTCCTAGTACTGGCAGCAGGAAATGTATATTCTCATAAGTGGTCTCTTGCACAGCATTTTTTTGGGATCAGATGGTATTACTCCTCAGACTCCTTTGACATATAATGGCTAGACTGAAAATAAGAACAACCTCCCTTTTTAATGAGCCCCCAGTTTTAGTAGGGAGAAGAAGTTCTGAACACATTTTTGTTGTTCTTCATGTAGGAAATATCACATAACAAAATACCTAGGCTTTTGTTTACATGGAAATAGCATTGTTTATATTATTGCTCATATGTAAAAAAAAATTTTTTATAAAGGATTCTCATCTTCCCAGCTACAAGTTATTTTCATGCTATGTGTTATTGGCAGAATGAGTGTTCAGTGTAGGGTGTGTAGCATGGGGTGGCTTTCAATGCCCCAGCCTGACACAACTTTCTTCATGATTATCCTGTTAAGTCTATTGATCCTACTAGTCATAGAATGGACATTTAGTGAGCATATTGTGGTGATGGATAGGAAGGTGCTTGCTGTTTTTGCCAGTAGAGCATATTAGTCCTTTGGCTCCTCCATTGTCTGGGCCCACAGTGAGCTGTAGAAGGCAGCTATTCAATAATTATGCAGTACAATGGCTTGTGATTATAACCACTGTGGTTATTGATAGTCCTGTGTGCTCAAGGCATAACGTATGTCCCGGGGAAAAGAAAAACATGCAGCTGAGAGTTGCTAACCATGTTCCTTTGGTTAGAAATAATGATTCATTTTTTTAACCACTGGTTGAAATAGTTTCTAAAAGGCTCTGGTAACTGACCTTAATTTCTCATGCTATTTTCCCTCAGAAGATGTCAAAACTGTAAGTCTCTAAGGGGAAGACCTTTAAACTCAGTTCATAAGACAACGTTTAGTAAAGGGGATGTTGGAGGTTATAGTATTCTTCAGATGACATGGTATTTTCTGCCAACAAAAGCCACATTCAGTCTGTAGCTGGTGAAAGCTTTGTGTTATCTTAAGAGACCACCTTGGATCTGGATAATACTGTTGGTTTATGAGCTTTGCTGTGTGCTCAGTTCTTACTTGAGCTTTAAATAGAGTCCTCTGGTGCGGGAGTAGTGATCTGGTGGCAAAATCAGAAATTAACTTACGCTACTTTTTGTCAATTGGGGACTTTAGTTGATTCTTCCACGGGAGGAACATAAATTGCTGTTGCTCAGAGACCTTTAGAATGCTGTTGACTTGAAGATTGCTTTCTTGGCAACCAGGGGATTTTTAAAAAATGATGTTGTGTGTTGCTGGTCCATAATTATAGAACATGGTTTTTAATGGTTAGATTTTGAGGGACCCTCCCTGAAGAATGAGTTATGTATCTCCAAGGAAATCATGGAAAATTCTGTTATTCTTCAGTGAGTCCTTTTGAATTAATGTTCTTACATTTTTTTCTAAGTCTGTGTAAGTGCTTATGTATAAGTATATAATTGTATAAATATTTATAAATATATTTATATAATTACAATTTCATTTATACCTTGAGTCAAAGTTCTCTCTGTAGATTGGTGACTGAGTAATACCACTTGGGTGTTTTTCATAGGCTCTTCCCCCCCCCACCCTGGTACTGGGGATCAAACTCTGGTCCTTGTGCTTGCGAAACAGGCGGCGAAACCACTGAGCTAAATCCCTGGCCCTTTCATAGGCTCTTAAGGCTTAACTCGAAGCTTCTGATCTGTCATATCTCTGAACTTGGATGATGTACTTGCTGTCTGAGGATATGCTGTCCACTCTCAAAGGTACGACAAGGGCACAGAAACGTGGTGGTGGTAGTCAAGGTCAAACCCAAAAGCCAAGGTAACACAGGGTAAGAAGTGACAGTCTGTGCAGCCTTGTGCCATGCAGCACCTGTCTTCACTCCCAGCACAGTCACAGCTGAAGCCCAAATTGATCCAAACTGTGAAGTCCAGAATATTTGCTTTAGGACTCTGCTTCATCCTCTTCCTGCCAGCTTTTCTGAGCCACATCTTGACAGCCTGTGGTAGCGTGTTGATAAAGGAGAGGACAAAGCACTAGTGTGCCCATTTGTGAGACACCAAAGTAACTTTTCAACCTGGGTTAGCATAAGATGACCTATTATATGTATGTTTTAAGTGAGAAACAGAGTGATATTCATCCGGCTTAGATGCAGTCCAGCATGTTTAGACGACAAGCTGTAGAAGATTTTATTTTGTGTTGAGGCGGGCATGTAGTTATCTCAGGGTTGTACGCCCTTGGGGAAGAGCTGTAGCTTTTACACCGGAAGACCAGCTTGGGAGGGGTGCCTTGCTGAAGAACCTCATCTGTTTAGGGAGCACGCTTGCTCCCATTTACCACCTGTTTCCTCTGTAGGTTCCTTTGCTCTCTGGAGGAAAGGTTTGATTGAGGAGATTAAATGAAGTCAGCGAGGTTAGTAAATAGTCATTCCCCCTATAGGTGTTGGGAACAGCTTAAAAGAGAATTTAAAAGGTCAAAAGAGAACAAGGTAGACTTTGCGAGTGACTGAAATATCATATAGGGGGATGGAATGAAAACTAGTGAGGAAAAAGTGAGAGGAATACTTTTGAGTTTGACTTAGGAAGAACCCAGAGAAGAGAAATCACAGTGCCATACAAAAGAAGAACAGGGAACACATTTTGAGTAAGTACCATGTGCTGTGTGTACTCTTGTGTGCATTCTCCCCTTAAGTCTTCCTGCAGACTCCATGCATGTGGCCTTCCCCTATGTAATAAACCAGGAGGAAAACTGAAGGTCAGAGAACATGTTCAGGACACCCAGCCTGAAATCAGAATGTCACAGTTGGAATCCAGAGCCCTACCTTCCCACTCCTTGCTGTGCCCTTCCACATGCAGGGAGTCAGTTTGCCCAAAAAGTCGGCTTTGTAAGTTAGCATTTGGCTTTGTTTCCTTAGAATTAGGGGAGTAGTTGAGGTAAAGCTTGTGGAGTTTGCACTGTGCCTATAAATTCTTATTTATGGCATTATTTTCAGAGGCTAATTATTGCCTTTTTTTGTTTTTTTTTGGTACCCAGGATTGAACTCAGGACACTGCTCTTGCAATGCAGGTGGCAGAACCACTGAGCCAAACCCCTGGCCCCATTAATTGCTTTTTTAAAATGATGCACTGATGAAAATGTGAAAGGAAAATAACTATGCGACATTATTTGCCAAGAATAAATCTAAAGGATAAAAAAGAACTTTATCTTTTTTTAACTGTTTTTCAGAAAAGATGTAATTATTCTTTTCTGTGTCCAATCCATGCTAGATTATTGAACCTTCCTGTATGTTTTTAAATCTTCTGTAAAATTTTGCTTCCTGACTATATAAGGCAACAGTTACCTATTGAGTTCTGAATCAAAATTGGAAATATTTTGAAGTCTAAGAACTGATTCTTGACTGTTTTATCCAGTTAGGCAGATGGATTACAAATGAGATAATTGGAAATATGTAAATGTTTGCATTTTTGGGCTTGAACTGTAATTCAGTAGAACTTTAAAAAAGGGATGGAATAGTACAGGTTTTAGTTAGGAAAGTCTTCATAAAGAAATAAGACTGAAAAGTGACAAATACTGGGCTCAAATTTTTTTTGAATCATGTACATTCTTTAGCTGCACCTGTTGTAGCTACTGGATTTTAAGACATGACATTTTATCAGTAAGGTGTATAACCAGTACCCAAGTAGGAAAGGATTACTGTATCAATCCCTGGCACTAAAGATTCTTATCACTTGAATGCTAAGAGAAATACCAGAGGGAGCCACTGGGAACTAAAAAATGAAGGAAAGGTTTAACTTAACTCTCCAGGTACAAATGAAATGTACAGTATGTTATATATGGTGTGCAGGAAACGCACTGTGTGTAGGGCAAGTGCACTCTGGGTAAGAGCTCTTATAACTGTTACCTTGCCTCTTCCTACCTCCAAGTCTTGGGGCCCTCATCCCCATAATGAGAACAGCAGACTAGATTAATAGTTCTCAGTCTATGCCAGTGAAAGGACTTATACTTTTTTAAGTTTGGTGTGCGTGGGGAAGTGTGGGGTTAACTATTAAATTATTAATTCCATAGAAAAAATGTAAATGTGCACGTGGAATTTCAGAGCTCTTGCAAAAACTCGAGGACCCACACATACACTGTAGACCACCAATTAGATGATCTCTGAAGTCTTTTTCTACTCCAGATTTTTGTGTCTAGTCTATTCCCTTTATTATATATTGCCCCTAGGCTAATTAAAAATGTTCTTGTTAATCAGTTCCTTTGCCTTTTTTTCTGGGTACAGATATCATTTGCCCAGGAACTTGATGTAACCTCATTGTAATGACTGAAATCCCCCAAAAGGAGAATGTCATAGGTGTAAATCTAGTAATGACCTTTAAACATTTCTCGTTGTTTATGAATTGTTTGTATTGTATGCCTGCCTAATCAGTGTTGAGTACAACTAAGGTGTAATTAATGCGAACTAAATATGCTGCCGACACTGGAGTTGAATTTTATCTTGTATGCTTTAAAATAGCTACTCTACTGGCTCAGCAATTACTGGGGAATTGGTTAGAATTTACACTTGGTTTGGGCAGAAACAACTTTTTCAAGATCTCATTCAGCTGACTCTTTAAAATGTTTTGTACACCCACCCTCCTCTTTGGCCATCTTTTCTTTAACTCAGTAGTAAATTACAGAGCACAGGTTGAATAATAATAATAATGTCTTGGGAGAAATTGTGAGTGAGGAAGGCAGGAGGAAGCAGCCCTTCTGATGAACATGGCACTTTCCCAGTAATAGAAGCCTCTGAGAACAGGCCGCTTAAGACAGCTGTGGGCTGTGAATATTCAACTGTCAGTTTGCCTTGCTTACCATTTCAGTTATTCTCTTGCCATGAAGCTTAGTAGTATTGCACAATACACACTTTAGAAGGTGGCAGGAACATTCATTAGAAATGAAAATAACCAATAGAGAACACTATCATTCCAATACTGTATGTTGATTTCTCCTACTATATAGAGGTTTGGCATTTCAATAATGGTTATTTTGGTTTTTGGCTCACTTACAAGTCAATCCTGCTCTGAGAGACAGTTTTGAATCAAGAATTTTGTTTTGTTTTTGTTTTTGTTTTCAGATAGGGTCTCACTATTTACCCAGGCTGGCCTTAAACATGCATCAGTCCTTCTGTCTCAGCCTCCCAAGTGCTAGGATTACAGGCATGTGCCACCATGACTGGTGATAGAATCAAGAATTTTTAAAAGTAGAGCTTATGATGGCCTGGCTTTCCCATGAAGTGAACTTACGTGATTAGATTATTGGATGTGATGAAAAACCTTAATTAGAAATATCTTTTAATCTTAGTCTCTCTTTTACTTCTCCATTCTCAATTCTTGATTTTTTTGTCCTTTCTCTAAAAAATAATTATAATTTTTAATATAACTAGCTATGTTTCTGAGTTTTAATATGATTCTTATTTTTTTATAAATTAATATACAAGGGAAGAATTTGAGGCAAACAGCTTTTTATGGCTCATTTTCTTTTTTCATTTTTTGAGACAAGGTCTTGCCATGTAGTTCAGGCTGGGATTAAGCTTATGAGAGCCATCCCCTTGCCTCAGACATCCTCCTGCCTCAGCGTCCTGAGTGCTGCAGTTACAGGTGTGCACCATCACACTGGCTTATGGCTCATTTTTCTAAGGAAAATTCTCTTACACCAAATAGAGAGTGGCTAGCTCTGTGACCCCTATCCTTTCCTCTTTGGCCTACAGATTGCTGTTATTGCTTAGAATCTCAGCCATTGTCATAAACAATGATTTTGGCCATTTAAAAAAATATATGTATGGCCTTTCTGTGCCATGTGATCCCAAATTAAATTTGAGTAATCCAATATGAACTACTTATTAACACAATTTAGCATTTCTGTAATGAGGTAGCTTAGAAAGATAACCAGATTTATTTGTACAATTAGAAGTGCACATGGTAGTATTTTGCCTAACAATCATACTAATCTGTAAGTATAGGAAATTACTTTGCTGTACTTAATTCTGTGATTACATGCAGTAAGTTTTTGTCTACTTAATGGTAGTATTTCCTCTGTAGAGATCAAAATGCCCTAAGATTTTATATGCCTTGTAAGTCATGGAAGTTTTCAAATGGCAAATGCCAAGCTAAGCTGGACTGAACTTAAGTGATAATTTATCTTCACAAAAGAAGTTATCCATGGACTGGGTCACCAAGAATCTTTCATTATTAGGAAGTGGGAAACATTTCAGGTCCTCAGATAAGTTCCAGCCTGGAGTGGGATCTCTCTTCTTTAACGTGTTTGTTACTTGCCTTCTTCACGTCTTGGCGTGATCATCCTAACCGATGGAGAGGTGTTTGGCCTGGGACCATGCCCTGCTGTTCTGCTTTTCTCTCCCTCCGTCAGGGTGACTGGCTTTACAATGTCTATCACCAGGGCCTATTTCAAGTCAGTGACTTTGGAAGGTTGACACTCAATTGGACACCTTGGTGTTTTCATCAAAATGATTTTATAGTATGCTTTTCTCAAAGCTGCTTTGTTCTTAATAATAGAAAGTATCAGTAAATTAGATGATGTGATTCAGAATACTGATAGGTTTATGACACTAAACATATGCTCTTAGTAACTTTCCGTAACTTTAAGTTAAAGCTCAATAAAGTGACCATTGCCACTGGAAAAACCCCTTTGACCGGCTAATTAGTTAACAGTAGTGTGGTGGAGGCCCTGGGCGTCACTCTTCCTAGGCTCCCTCTTCAGTTCATTTAACCCCTGGGGCTTAAATGATCTTTTAGCTGCAGGCACAGAGGATGAGCGTCAGTCATGCCAATACTACGGAGACCATGAGGCTTCTACCAGGCTATGTTGGGAAGCAATGGGACATGAGCTTTTCACTCCTCTAGGATTTTTATTTTTGATTGTTTTTTCCAGGATGGTTTTTCTCTTGGTTAATGAATTCTAAGCATCTGGTGTCTTTTTTATTTTTTATTTTTCCCTTGACCCTTAAGAAAGCCCTTTTTCTAATAGCTATTGTTCGTTCCATGGAAATTTTTTATGTGTGTGGTGAGCTTTGTGCATGCTTTGAGTTCAGTTTGACATCTGAGATGTCCAATTCTGGCATGTCTTCACTGTGTTTTTAAACATTTTTATGTCATTCTCCAAACCTCACTTCCCATCTTACTTGGAGAGGTTGATCAAGGAATGAAACTTGTTTGGGGATAGGGAAGAGGGTGGGTTGGGAACTTGAGTGACGTCTGCTTGGGGTATTTGCTTTAGAAGTGTTTTTCAAGCAGTTCCTAACAGTATTTAGAGATTCCCTGGGATGTCTGTGTACCGGCTTATCCTGGACAAAGTGGTGGTCTTACCGAGATTTGCATTTCTAATGCAGGACAGGCTCTAAATTTAATCTGTAGTGAAATTCAAGAAGATAATGGACAGAGACAGAGCTCCTATTGGAGTGCTTCTGGCAAGTGCTCCTTGAAATGCAGAGTTCTTGGTTGTCTGGGCCTTTAATCCCATGGTGCTAGGATATGTCATCATCTGTAGCTCTTCCCAGAAGTGGAAGGAGGCTTTGGGACCAGTGAGCAAGGGGGACTGGACCACCCACTCAATTTTTCTGTTAAAGACATTCTAGAGACTCCCCTGTGTATCCAGCAACTGATACTAAAGGTGCTAGGGAAAGCCTTAAATTTGAAGACACGTGGAGGTGGTGGAAAATCTAAACTTATACAAGAAAAGTATGCTATTAGGTAAAGCAGAGCTGTAACTGCTGGATAAGACTCAACAGAACTTCCACTTGCTCTAAAACCAGGGAAATCTTAGCTAACCGGGTGTGATCTATCTATAGATACATGTAGTCTATAGGTGAATATTTTCTAAAGTGAGGATCTTTCTCTCGGTTGGTGATCCTCTGGTTTGGACTGTACCAAATTGTGAATATTCTTTCTGTGTTGTACCCGGTTGCTTTATATTAATACTGCAACTTGAATTGGGGAGGGTGGGTGGGCAGCAGGGAGGCGGGAGGGGAGTGGGACGCTAGTCTTTCGAAGACATCAGCTCACTGTGCTGAGAGAGGGACCAAACTCAAGGAAACCTCTGATCTATAAATCCAACTGCTGCAATTTTTTTTATAAATACATGTAAATGTCCTATTGTAATATTTGATCTTGGAAATAAAAACAAAAACTTTTCAGTATTAGTGTTTTTGGTCATTGTTTTTTGCAAGATGAGACACACTGGATCTTACTTTCATTCATGTAATTCAGACTTCAAAAGCTTGCCCTCCTATTGTCCACTTAAGACAAGTAGTATTTATTGA